ATTTAACAAAAACGTAATAGGTGATGCCTCGTTTCGAGCGCTCCAAATGCGATCGGTCGCAAATGAATCATGCCCGGTTTTCAGGGGAAACGCGGGGTGGTCGGAACTCCGTTAATTTCGTTTTCGGACAACTTCATTTAAAGTTAATTAAATCTATCTATTCCATTGAAATTTTAATACGAGCCCGCACAGAAGAAAATTCAATTATTTCCACACTAAACAAATTACCCCGGACGGCGCGCACAAAATGCTGCATAAATTATACGCGCCGGACTCTAATTTCATTAAGAATTCAGTTTTCAGCGAAACCACAGAGCCGGAGCACGTGTGCCTAAAATGAAAATGAAAATCACATTTTATTACATTGCCAAAATCATCCATGCGCATCATCATCATGTGCGAACCACAACTTTTTTCTTCATTTCCTCTCATTGTTTCAGTCCTGTGTTGTTGTCGCTGCTTTTAATGTGGATTATGCAATGAAGTTAATAAACTATGTATTGTGACTAAAATATTCATTTACTCCATGACACTATTATATGTACATACGTATATCTAAATATATATTTGCCTATATTTATATAAATTTGCATACACACAGTGTCCACTCGGAGGCTTCAATTTTAATTAACTCAAATGAAGTTAGCGTGTAATCATTTTATCCTGAATTAATAATGGAATGCACTAAATCGCATTAACACAATTTATAATTAAAAATTCGCTACGCGCACCAAATTTTTCCGTTTATTTGCTTCAAAAAATTTGTAATATTCATAGATATTCGCTTATGAAATATTAAAACGTATACAGATAAAAACTACATTTTTATACAATAACAATTTTTTCATTGTAATTAAATTGATTATTTTTATTTTATATAAATACTGATACATTTTTATTTGTTCATTAAAACGTGGCTTAAAAATTCAATTTTAAATATTTATATTGAAAAAAAATCAGGTCAAACATTTTCAGAGGAAATCTGAAAAATAAAATATTATTGTAAATATTTAAAAATTATTAAACTTGTGTTAATGAATATCAAAATTTAATAGAACTATAGTGTGGCTTCGGTGAATGCGAATTCACTGTAGTACGTTTGAAAATTTTGAATTAAATTTGAATTAGAGCAAAACCTGGTAAAAAAATAGTACACAAAAATAGTATTTGTTGACTATTGTTTTTGTGTGATTTTGTTGTGTATTTAGTTCGGATTATTGACGGAACTAAAAAAAGTTGATGAAAAGTTGAAAAAAAAAAGAAATTTATAACTTGTTTTAAAGCTTAATTTGAATGCATTCTAAATGTTTGAAAATTACTGGCATATAATTATAATAATATCACACTTGAATGAGCAAATGTATGCATGAGCTTCGAAATTGCAGAAGTTTGACTGAAGTAGTTTTCGCGATAAACATTACTTAGCTCTTGCTAATAATAGCTGCAACCTATTACCCTATAATCCCGGCTTTATCCCATTGGCTTTAATCAATAAAGATAGATTTTGAATATATTTCGGCATCGATGAACTTTCCCATCTCCCTCAAAGCTTTAACATGTAATAAGACAATCAAAGCAATTTAAGAACTTGGAGCGAATCCAAAATCCCGAAATGATTCTGCATTAAGGATATACGTGCATAAGATATGCAAGGATTACGTTAGTCTTTTATATAAGTAAAATAGTTTCAGTTTTATCTTTGTTTTATACAATATTTTATTATGACAATATTTTTGTTCTTAGTCTTGATTTTCTACTTAGATCTAAATATTTATTGGTTTTATACAAAATTGCTATATTTTTTGAACCAAAATACGCAAATTTTTACAAAGAAAATTGGATTGCAATTGAGTTTTTTGTAAAATTTGTCACATAAATTTGTGGTATCTTAAGCATTTTCACTGAATTTTTCCTGAAAAAATATTAAATAATAACAGAATTTAATATGAACTAATTTATACTGGAAAATTTTCATTTTATTACTAAATTTTTATTTTTTTCTACTAACGAAAAATCTAAATATATTAATAAAAACTTTTGTAATATTTGATAAGTTTAGTAATAATATCATGTTTGTTTGTTTGTTATAGGAGTC